GTACCGCTTTTCTTTTACAAGAGGTCGCATATAGGACTGTTCAGAGCGCGAAAACTCGTAGATGACCCTAAAATCTAAGAACTTGGCACAACGGGATATTTCCTTAACGAGAAGTTGTCTAGATAGCTTAAAGGCACGTTCCACGACAAACTGTGGATATAACCACTCGAATGTTTCAGTGAACACGTGGGCGAGAGCTTCGCTTATTTATTACTTCATGATGTCGTCGTGGGCGGCCATCTTTCGTCAACACCCGTCGTCACCATCCGTTCCCCACTTTGAGCCTGTAAGTTGCCTCTACCTTCAGTTGTGGAGGCTGTGCTATCCTTAAAAAGTGAGGATTTGCAAGCACACCAGCGCACGCTGGACCTTTTGGCCCATGAGCACCCCTTAGGCCCATGTCAGCCCACGGCCGTTATTAGCTACTATCTAGCAGCCCCTCTACTAGCTCTCTCCACTCCTAGCGGTGAGAGTGGCAAGGGAAAGAGCTGATATTGCTATTGTGCTGTTCCCTTTTCAAAAAATCTCCTGTCAAGAATGTTATTGATTCTCAAGGAAAGGGTTCTTCTGGAAATTGTGGCCCGATATATTTTGCAAGATATCGCAAAGTAGCGCGCTCAGAGGCAACCGCAGAAAGCGTTTTGAACATTTGCGGGCAATTTCTAAACGCATGTGAACATTCAAAACTCAAGTATCCAATCCAGTGAGGTCGTACTGAGCCGGTGCATGCGTACCAGGGGACTTGTTTGAAGGTGATACATTTGGAGCGCTTCTAGGTGACATTTCTGGGGCCTCAGTGACGTCAGGTTTCCCACTAGGGAAGTATTACATACGCGTGACGTTTGTGAGGTGTCTTGTTTATGGCAGGTATTTCGGCCTCCTTCAATGAACCGGTTCTCAAAGGCGGCCTAGGCGCTAGTGCGAACGATGTCACCGCCATCAATATCGATGTATCACTTCTCGAGTAGTATTCTCGTCAATTTTTTCAGTACCGAGCTTTTCCATGGTTCTGTAGATTCCTTTTTGCATCGCATTACGCTCTACTCATCATCATCAGCAGCGCTTGTAAGAAAGGAAGTCAATTTCGATTGTTCAGATATGATTCTTTTTGACAAAGTTGCTCTACCAGAGTATGTGACCAATTTGTGGCAATGGGATATCGAGTGGGAAGAGGAGAATCCTGACTACCGCTGCCTTCTCGGTCGTGCACATGTTGTGGTGAGCACCCAAATGCATCCATTTCGAAACAGTTTTGATTGATTTTGGTGAATTGAGAACGCTGCCAAAGTCCTTCTATGGTTCGAAATATTGGTCATACCACTCTATTTGATCTTCCTCTTCCCATGGTGGATTTTCTTCATAGGTTCGTTGATACTTTTTATTTCTCTGAAGACATTACCGTGCCTTAATTGGTGCCTTAGTGCCCCACGTCGTCATTATCGTGCTCACTTTGTACGCGTTGAAAAAGGAGAAGCACAGATGGATGTGGCCAATTAATCTCTATGCGGTGAGTGCCTTTCTTTATGAGGTTTTCTTGAAGTTGAAGTGTATTTGCCAATACAATTTTTGACCTCCGTTTTCGACAAGACTTCCAGTGTCATGTATTCGATTCGCTGCGTTGTAACACTTGACGCGACCACACCCTGCGTGAATGTTTCTTCCTAATAGAATGAAGATGCTGAGGGAACGTGAAGCCACAGAAATGCTAGAATACCTCTAATGGCCCGGAAAAGGAGGGTTTGTGCATGTTTTTCATAACACCTTGTGCATCTCAGTCTCGAGCCTTACTGAGGGTTGGGTTACCCAGGCCGAGACTGAGTCTAACCGAAGTTGCAAGCCGAACAAGTACCGATCGCCGCATAGCCTCTACCCCTTCTGTGTGCTTTCGGGCATTGTTGTAAAGCTCAACAAGATTGCTGTGTTGATATCGAGCAATGTTTCTCCTTCTATGCACCATTTTCTAGGATGTGAAATTGCCTCTCAAGTAATCAATGGCCACGTTTGGAGATGTGAAATGTTCGGTTGACCTGGGTAACTCTCTAATGGCTCCGCAAAACAGCGCCTGTAACCTCTGCGCTATAGGGATTTTCCGGCGCTACTCGGCTTGGTTGGGACATTTTGCTGGTTTCATCGGTCACTGCTGATGCCTTCTAACTAGGGAAGGTCGTCAGGTCGAAGTGGCCATTTGTAATGAGATGTAGCTCACTAGACGTGGTTTTGGACGCTGATCTCGAATCTGCCTTTGAAATTTGCAGAACGATTCTCTGAACGGAGTTATGGAGCTTTTACCACGCAACAGGTCATGGGATCGGATCCCTGCTGAGCTTAACTTTTTTGCTTCCAGCGCAAACGTGGCAAAAAGTGGTTGTGGCGTCGCTTCTACATTAGCGCTCTCCTTGACTTGCCTGAAAAACAGTTTGCGTTCGCTTACTGGCGCGCTTAGTGCATCATGATCTAGGAGAATTTTAGGATGTACAGGTGCCCTTGGCGCGCAGTGCAGACGTTTTCGCGCTGAGCGAGTGCCATATTCGTATTTATGGGGGCGAACTACGCCTAGGTAGAGGTTTCTAGCCAAATCTGCCATTTTGACCTGACTTCGAAAAGTGAAGCATCCATGGGTTAGTTCAGTTGATGTTCACACCTATTCAGCTGCAGATACATTCTCCTGCACAAAACCTCGTCTTGCCACTTCTTACGCATTCATGTTGTTACTGCTCCAGTTTTCCTGGTATCTAAAAGCAAATTCCGTCCAAAGACAAGCAATTGACAAGAGACTGGCCCTGGAACTATTGGTGACCATCATTCGATCAACTGCTACCGCACTTTTCATAGTAAGGTCCCTGAACACGAATATGGCACCCATTTGGCGTTTGAATGTTTTCTAGACTTAAAAGAGACATTCCCCACAAAATGCAAAAGAAGTTCCCTTCCAGAAATTCTTTCCTGCTAGGAGAGCAAATAGGCCAATTTTCCATGAGTTTTCTCGCTCTTCGACTTCCTCCGCCTTTCCTTGTCCACGCGTCTATAACTTCCTTCGAAACCATGGCACGACTACTACGTGTCACGTCTTTGCCAGGACCCTTACCACAGAAGCCGCCGAAGAAAAAAATAGTTGAGTGGTCAGATGCGCTGAACCTTTCGCCAGGGATAGCTTGATCCGCTTCACAAGAATATTACATTCTCTCGGATTGCAACGATGGCGTAAGGGTGGGAGGGACATGCGGCGCCATGCCCTTTTCTGGTGTGAGAACTTCCTCTTCTGTTGGAGGGATCCCTATCGCAGGCGGTCAGAAAGCATTAACTCCCTATCCCTTGAACGGAGTAGGC